AACGATGGAAATTGTGACGCGTCGTCACTGTATGGCAACTAGGAGACAGTTGGCACGGAATTTGACCGAGGACGAGATGGTTCTGTTCAAGCAACTACTTCTCGTGCTGGATAAGATCGACTTACAATGCAAGTCTTTTACGTGTACAACTCAGATCTGGTTGGGACCAATTTTATTTTGTTCACCACAAAAAATAAGGATACCCGTATTTTTTCATTTTTCATAATGCGCTAATTTGAGCGCGGAGCGCGAATTTTAAAACATTTTTCAGCCAAAACCTCGGTTTTTAAAAATTCTGTAAATTTTCGAATTTCAGCCCAAATCCAAAAATTCGAGAACATGTATCTTCACAATGACTTACTTGACTTATGAAAAATCCAAACGCATTATTTTTTGAAAAATTAAAAATTTGAAGGAGTTTATAATTTTAATGAATTTCAAAAACTGGCAAAAAATTTTGAAAATCAAATTTTGAGACAATTGGGTTTTTCATAAGTCAGGTTAGTCATTCTGAAGAGACATGGTTTCGAATTTTTGGATTCGGACTGAAATTCGAAAATTTACAGAATTTTTAAAAACCGAGGTTTTGGCTGAAAAATGTTTTAAAATTCGCGCTCCGCGCTCAAATTAGCGCATTATGAAAAATCAAAAAATACGGGTATCCTTATTTTTTGTGGTGAACAAAATAAAATTGGTCCCAACCAGATCTGAGTTGTACACGTAAAAGACTTGCATTGTTAGTCACGATTGGCGGTCTGGATGTGAGCATGATTAGGGGACGTTCGTAAACTTCGTAACGCAAAGGGGGTGGGTGGGTGGTCAGAGCCCAATGATATCGTGCCTAAGTGACACATGTTAAAGGGGGTAGGTGGGTGTCCAAAAAACCAAACAATTGCGTTATGAAGTTTACGAACGTCCCCTTAAAAGTTAATAACAGGATTAATTTAGTATTGACTTTGTATATACGTAGGCTTATTGGATTAAGGATTTTTTACGAATTTATTTTGTTTCTAGTTAAGCACGGAATCTACGAATATTATACTGGACTTCATTTCATCGAATAAGATGTCTTCCTCCAAATTTAAGTTGATTGAGGGGGAATATGGTAGTAATGTATCAAGTGTTTTTTTATCGCACTAGTAAAGATTAGTAATCTTGTACGGTACAAGTTGTAAATACCTCTTTTTAATGAAATGTTCCAATAAGTCTTACTTTATTAGGTAATTCATACCTCGTTTAATGAATTGAGAAAACATTGCATTTTCGAAAGAATGGTCACGTAATGGGAGCCACATCATGTGGGAAATCGTACCGGTAGAATAAATTATAATGTCAATTCTGCCTGGAAATTAACCTGCCTACTTTTTGCGCGGATTAAAATTGTGCATGATGTAAATATTTTGCATGAATAAATAATCAAGGTTCTCTTGTAAATATGCATGTCCAAAAGTCAGTGGTCTTGATTGTTGATTGAAGGATTTCATTCTTTTGCTTTCAAATTCATTTCATTTCAATGCAGAATTCGGCGGATACAGGTGAAAATATCAAAATAAAATTGTATTCTCGCCCAGTATTTAAATACATATTCAAGTTCCATGATATCCGCCGAGCCATAACGCCAGAACCCCGAATCGGGGTCCCCGATCTAACCAACAACTTTACCAGGAGACGCAACTGGAAAATTTTTTCAATTTGTATGTATCAAATTTGTATGTATTTTAACAAAAGCTCATCACCGAAGGGTAACAATGTTTCCGTCAGATAAACGCAAACAGACTAAATCCTGCTCAGTTTGCGGTATCAACGCTCTTGTAATAAAAACGGTACCGACACTGGAGGAAATTTGCTTCGACCAGAATAAATGCTACAACACGGTAGAATTGGATGGGATACCTCTATAAATTATAAATAGAGGATCCTCTATACCCATATATGTAAATTAAATGTACATCCTACGCAATCGGGTGACCGATTTCGAACGACTTTACAATGGACATTGGATCGATATGCTTAAGGTTCTTGTTACACCGTCATTGAGTTTTTTTCTCACCTTGCCCTTATTCAATGTCTTTAAACGCAAAGTTTAAAATCGAATCAACTTCATGAGTTTTTAGATAAACTCAACATTTGATACTTTAATGTAAAGCTAATTTTTGGTACTACAAACAAGTCGTTTTGAAAAAAAATTAATAAATTTATTTGCCATCTTTTCACAATAAATTTCTGCGAAAACGAATTTAATAATTTTTTTCAAAACGACTTGTTTGTAGTACCAAAAATTAGATTTACATTAAAGTATCAAACGTTGAATTTGTCTCAAAACTTATTAAGTTGATTCGATTTTAGACTTTTGCATTTAAATACATTGGATAGGGGTAAAGTGAGATTACGCGCCAACGCGTCATCCAAGAGGGTCTTAAGTCGCATTTCACCAAAAATTGACGACATACTTTATGCCGGACCACTTGCCCCTTCCCGGGAAATGGAAACGACTTAATTTAGTCAGCAGTTGTTCACGACAATAGCAAAAGTGCATTTCTTTATTCTTTACACTGTGTAAATTACACATTTGTTTCCATTCATTAAAATTAAAATTAATTGTATAAATAACGGGAATATTGATCAATTTCAAAGCAATGGTACGCCCTTTACGGAGAATTTGTTGCATATTTTAATAATTAAAAAGGCCTTGCCATAGAATATAAAGAATTAGAAGAAACACTCTGCTCTTTGTTAAGCAAGTAAGGGGGATGACTCTCCACGTCACATACGAGAGGTCGCCAGAGGCCCTCAATGTTAAACTAAATGGCAAACTCGCAGAGTTAACTCCTACTCCATCTGTGAGTGACGTGGAACATCTCTTTCTGTATCTTTTATATCGTGGTGGTTAATTACTCGTCGCTAGAGCCCTCACTAATACTATCTTTTATGCATTTTGTATTTACCAATGCTAAAGGAGGGGAGCTTGCGAGGTTGATAATAACAGATCCTGATGCCCTTTGGATATGTGGTAGGGTCCCATGAGTGTACTATAACCCTGAAGTGGTTTGACTCCATGGCCACATTTGCGCCCGCCACACCCACTCAAAAATGCCCAAAAAACGCTTTCACTCCAGTTTTCACTCACTCAAATCCACGCCAGAAATCCAATTTTACTCGGATTTTGAAATTTCTTTCACCATTACGCTCCCAGATAGTTGCTTTCTTCAATCCCATATCAAACTCAATTTTGCTGATGATTATTTCGCAGGCGTAATTTGAGTTGTTGATTACTACAACAATCCTCATTCAGAATTTCAAATTTTAAAAATACTAAAAATTTCGAAAAATTGGGTTTGATATTGGATTGAAGAAAGCAACTATCTGGGAGTGTAATGATGAAAGAAATTTCAAAATCCGAGTAAAATTGGATTTTTGACGTGGATTTGAGTGAGTGAAAACTGGGGTGAAAGCGTTTTTTGGACATTTTTGAGTGGGTGTGGCGGGCGCAAATGTGGCCATGGAGTCAAACCACTTCAGGGTTTTAGTACACTCATGGGACCCTACCACATATCCAAAGGGCATCAGGATCTGTTATTATCAACCTCGCAAGCTCCCCTCCTAAGATACTACCCATCGGGCCTTGCTAAATTAAAACGACTTGATGAACTTGTTAATTCTGAAATAGAAATATTCCCTCGGCATTTTCAGAATTTCCGTTGGACATCAATTCATCTCGGTGGCGAAATGGAGTGTCCACCTCCATGGGCGAGAAGTGCGGAGGACAAGGCGCTAAATAATCCCGTCGTAAGCGAATTAATCGTAATCTTAATCCCAATTTCAAAATTATAATTTTGGAAATTTCAATACTTCAAAAAAAAATTGCAGATTTTAACAGAAATATTAAAACACGCCACTACCCCGTTGAAAAGCTGTCGACTGGTTTGTCGCTTTTGGAACGAAATGGTCCTGTCCCTTCCAAACTCAAGACTTGCTTTAAACCTGCACCATAAAGACGACGAAGATGGTGATGATGACGAAACCGTCCCATTTTTCGGAGTTTGTTTCACATTAGATGCCCGACTCGCGAAACACATCAGCGCCCACAATTGCGCCCTCTTGTCCCCTTCGTTTAACTATCGTATGATCGACCTTTGCGATAAATTTAGTGATCGGGTAGAAATCTTGGACCTCTGCATTGACGAGGAAGATCTCCTAACATCTCTGTGTCAAGTTTTGAAAAATTGCTGCCCAAATTTGAAACAATTGCGGATTGAAGCTTTCTTTTCTGAAGCACAAGATGTAGACCTTTTTCCACCTGGAGGGGACCAAATTCTGTCAGTAAAACCAAATATGACCTTGTTCACCTTCATTTGTTGGAATTACGAACCACAAATCCAGTTTCACAAAGTTCTCGCCAAATTCATTCAATTGGTTGTCAACGCCTCGCCAAATTTAAAAGTGCTCACCATTCCGTGGGGATTCTACCCAGATTTTGCAAATTCCAAGTGTCTCGAATCCTTAACCATCCCTCTTAATGATGTCGCACTAAGTCAAATGACGGACAGAAACAGCATTTCCAAGCTATCGAAAATGATGCATCAAGTCGGGGGACAATTGGTCAGCCTATCTTTTGGCTTTGAAAAGACTCATCGGCTCCCACCCTCCGAGCACTACGAGTTCTTAAACCCGTCTCAAATCAGATTACCCAGCAGGATGCCAAAGTTACGAAAGTTTTCGAACCGTAGTGTCGAAATGTTTCGAGGTGCCGATGTTTTGCATAATATTGAAATGATGCCTGCTCTGGAAACGTTGGTGATTGGAAGAAGAGAAAGAAAACAGGTGAGAAGTGTGGATGAAGTTTTGCAAGGAATTCGTAAAGCGAAGAAGATTTTGCCAAGCGTAAGGAACTTGAAGATTATGGAGCTGCATGATCACAAACTTTTGGACGGAGTGGCGACCGCGTTTCCGAACGTGGAGAGGTTCGAGATGGTTCGCTTTTTGGCGAGAGAGGAGAGTGAAGTGAAGAAATTGGAGGTGAGCGTCGTGCTGAAGTCGTGTCGGGGTTGGGCTGCGTTAAAACATTTGAAGATAACCATGTGGGAATATCCGGCAGAAATGGTGGAATTTATCGAGGGGCTTTTACAAGGCAGGGAATTGTTTAAACGTGAGTGCGAATTTGTAAAGCTTAGTCAGATACTGATCTACGGGGCTTTTCTTTTACACCCCGCCTGCAATGCTTGAAGTCACATGATGGTCGTACAGACATATGTATCATTATTCAGCATCCATCACGGTGGAACGAACTTTTTTACAAGTACCAAGAATTTGCACACTAAAATTCATAATAATATATGCAAATCAATTTGGAATCATTTTAAGACAAAATTCCTCGAATGAAAACACAACATGTCATGTCTGAATAGGACTATGACGTAGCTGCAGGCATTGCAGGCGGGGTGTAAAAGAAAAGCCCCGTAGATCAGTATGTATAAAAAATACTGCAAATAGGCGCCGTTCATATATTATGTAACGCAAAAATCGCGATTTTCTAGTCCCCTTCTTCGGTTTAACATATGTCATAGGCACGAACCACGATATCGTTGGAGGCTTAAACTCATCCTCCCCCGTTCGCTTTAGATAATATTTTTACGGCCCCTTAATTACATACACAAGGGTGGACCGCTACGCCACGTGGCTAACGATATTTCTTGCGTTGGTGGGGCGTAATGTTTATAAATATACAAAAATTTATGTATGCATTTCTCATTACCACTTTTGAATTACATAATATATGCAAATTTCTTTTATTTTCATATTTCAACTTTAAATTTAAATTTCAGGGCTAGCAACGTTAGAAATTGTGACGCTCCGTTTTCGTTGGGATAACGGGAGACACTTAACACGAAATTTTACCGAAGATGAGATAGTTCTGTTTAAGCAACTGTTGGCGGGCTTAACGTGAGTATGATTAAAAGTTAATTAATTGATTAATTATTGGCTCCGTACGTAAATATATGTGCTTAATTAACTTGTTCACGGGTTTTGTTTCTAGTTAAATCCAGAATCTACGAATATTATAATGGATTTCATTGCATCGAATAAGATGTCGTCGTCCAAATTCAGGATGATTCCGGGGGAAATATGGTAACGAGTAGTAATGTATCAAGTGTGTTTGTAATGAAATGTACATATTAGCAAGTACTAATTTTCTGGGTAATTCGTACTTCGTTTTTTATTATGAATTGAGCAAGCATTGTATTTTCGACATGGTCACGCGATTTGGCGTGAATTCAATTTTACCTAGGAATTAACTTTTTACCGTTTTTGTCCCGATGAAGTGATGTAAATATTTTGCTTGAAAATAAATAACGTTCCTTTGTATGCATCCCTGGTAAAAAATTGTTTTCACTCAAAAGTCCGTGGTCTTGAGTGTTTCATCACAAGTCGGGCCTTTATATATCTTCGCATGATATAGATTTTGAGGTATGTTAATTGCTAGATGGCTCAATTATTCGGACGTACATTAATTCTACGCGGTATTTCTTTGTGACGCCTGAACTGCTCGGTTTTAATAAATCGTTCCCAAATCAATGAAACCTTATTGCATTCGATAACTGCCAGGCAGACACACGCCGCCAGACACGTGACGAGTAAAATGAAAATCGTTTGAATACTCCCGCCTAGCCTGACCACCTGAAATGAGGTCGTTTCATACCGAAATTTCCCATTTTGCCCTCCTTTAAGCTCCCTTTCTCGTAATATTGTCGCGTTCAAGCTCACCTGACGAGACACCTGCTTGTAAATCCCTGAACTCATAAACTGTTTAAAATATTGCAGCATCCGCGATTCCCGCCAAATCACAAGGATAAAGCCGACCGGCCGGTCAAAAATTATTTTCTCTCCACGATACCATTTTTTAACGGGATAATTCCTCTTAAGATACTCAAAGTAGGTGTCGACCTCACTAGATACTCCGCTATACGCCGACCTGTCACACTGTAAAATTTCCTCCTCAATAAGCCAGTTTACGTCATTCGAGGCTACATTATTGTCTAGATGCGTTAATTTCTCCGGATACCAGCGAATCCTTGGATTCAGCATGAAATACAGTAATCGTAGTAAATGTGATGGATATACTAAATGATTGTAACTAAGGTAAATACTGAAATAAAAGAATTCTGCAAACTTGTAATTTCGAAGAGGATCAGTTAATCCCCACTCTGGGATGAATGGAGACAAAATTGTGTAGCAATACCCGCTAAAGTTCTTCACAGTGGAGGGAATTGCAAAACTCACGTCTTTGTCGCGGTTTTCTGTCGTTGCACCCCATCTGGCCTTGACCATACCGAAATCTAGGGTTGTTTGAAGTTTTTCGGAACAAGAAATTTTTTCATATGTGCCACCCCGTTCCCCGGGGAGAGGTGAGTTTAAATTAGTGATGAAGATACTTCCCGATCTACAATTTTTGTTGCAAAGTGGTAGCAAAATGGTAGCAACTTGAAACAAATAACGGTGGCAAAATATTTGTTATTTTAACGTGATTCCACAGTATGAAAAATTACTGTTAACTCTTCAAACCATTCTGCTACATAAAAATAACAGTAAAATTCACGCAACTTTTCATGAAAATTTCAACGAGAAAAGTTGCGTGGATTTCAACCAAATAACAACCGTGGTATTCACCAAAACATGGCACGAAAAAACAACGCAGATTTAACCTGGAATGTTAACAAAGAGAATGCGCGGAATCCAAAGTTTTTGCCTCCACTCCATCTTTCTCTCTCACAAAGTCAGTTCAATTAATTTTATTTCCAAAATGTCATCCCTCCCAGTCAATAAATTTTGTATTATACAGATTGACTGTAACGGCGAAAAATTTGTAGAAATAGCTCCCACGATTTGGCTGGAAGAGGAGGAAAAGTTCGTGTTGTGGCCACCAGCTTCTAAACTGAAAAGTTTCAGTAAAAAGGGAAATTTATATCCCCTCCCATCCTGGAGGAGACAGACGTATCAGAAAATCCTTGGAAAATATGGTGAATATCATCGATTTAGTTCAATTATTAAAGTAATGTAATTGATTATATAATTTAAATAAAAATAATCTCAATTGCAGATACTTGGAAAGTAGCTTGTGAGAAGGTTAAGATTGCGGAGGACACTTCCAATCTTGAGAGTGCGTCAGAGAATCATTTGGAAGGCCGAAAGCAGAAACATAATCGAGAATTGTCGCACCCAAACGTGTCATTAAGCAGCAGCGAGGACGAGGAAGAGAATTCCATTCTAGTTTTACCTCCTCCCATGAACGATGAAGGTAAAATATCTTGTTTATTAATAAATGCTTAACAAAAATAAGTTTTCAACCATTCACTTCAATCCTCTTAGGAAGCACTGAAGTACAACTATCAACTCAAATTAACGACAACATTCCTTCAATAAATCTACCAGAAGTAGTCAACTTGGAAGGAGAAGACATTGGCGTGCTTTTGGCCAATGCCAGCTTCAGCAGTTATAAATGATTTAAAGAAATTAATTGAAGGCAAATCTTTGCTTAGTTTTTACAGTTTTTATCATGTTATATCATTTAATACCAAAATAATGTAATTTTTGTCGCAGGTTATAATACAAGAATTATCAAAATTCTTGAGCGCCAAAACGCAGAAATTCTAGAGATAAGAGCAACCCTACATAATATCCGAATATCGAACGACGGGGAAGTTGAAGCTGATTTTTCATCTATTCCACATCATCATCTGGAGACGAGAGAACACCTTGAACAGACTGAAAATTGGCTGAAATTTGCCGACGCAAATCGAGATTTATTGGTCAGATTCGAACTTTTTGATTAATTATTCAATTTCATAATTTTGTACCAATTTTGAATAATTCTGATCTTCCAGATTGAATACCTAAGAATAAAAGGAGGCGATACTGTTGAGAAAAATACGAAAAGGGCGTTTAAAAAATTAGTCAGCCCTGAACTTGCTCGACAAATAAATTACACTGGAAAGGGAGGAAAAATTACTTTAAAACCTTTGGGAATTTTCTCGGTTGTAATTGGTTCGTTATTTCATATTTATTTGATTTTATTGTAACACAATAGTTACTACAAGTAATTATGTACTCTTTGATTAAATAGAAAGTGTGAGAAAAAATTATCCTGCTGCAACGGACAACATAATTGAAAAAGCAGCAAAAGATTTCTTCCGTTTTATAAAAGTGTAATATCGTCATGGCGTGTCAACCCGGATTTTCAGCAAGAAATATAAGAAGAATAGTTTCAAAGAAAGTACGTAAAAATATTGCAGAATTACATGAAGAACTAACGTCGTCTACACAACATAGTAATAGTACAGTGTTTTGTCAAAATTAATAATAATAATAATTAATAATAATAATTATAGCTCAGGGACTGAATCAAGTGATGTTAGCGATAGCGATATCAGTTTAATTAGTCGTGTAACCTCGGACTGCAGTCAGGAAGGAGAAGGATAAGGATAATTGAGATAATTGTGATAAGGATAATTGAGAAAGAAAATGTTCTCTTGTCTCAACCTGTGTGTACAACTTTTACCTCGTTTAAACTAACCCGTAATGATAATTGTTATAAGTTAAAATCAGGGTTTATTGTTGTTGTATCAGAATACATTAAAGATAGTGAAGTCATAGTATGTAAGAAATTCAAAAAGCTTGAAGACCTGTACAAATATCCCAGTTCCAGTTCTATTTTAGGCATACATCAGGTTTCAAAAATGTCAAAGAGTTTTAGAGTAAATGTAAGCCAAGTTGAAGCAAAATGTTGGTTGATGTCATTGGATGAAAAATTAATTGTTGTTCCTTTAATAAATTGTTAGTATAAATAATATAATATAAATTGTTAATAAATTGCGATTTTATTTCCAATGAACTGCGAAAAAACTACCGTTAATATTTTGCATAAATTACCATGAATGCCACCGTGGTTTTGAAGTAAACATTACTGTGGATTTGTTGCAAATGCCACGGTTATTTTATTGTTACTTTCCACGTTAAAATAACGTGAAACCCACCGTGGTTTTCTTGATGTGTTAGTTGTTGAAACCCACGTTCGAAAAACGGCCATCAGTTGCAATTCTGCAACTCAGTTATTTTTGGGTGGATTTAACGAAAATTGTAGATCGGGTTAGGTAGCACGTGCTTAGAAGCATGCCCATCAGGAACCAGGGAAAACTTAAGAATCGGAAGGGAAGCGCAGTGCTCAATTTTTTCGGAAGGTGGCTCACCTCGTCGATCAAGAGACCGGAAAAGTACAAGAATAGTTTTAGCGGGTAGAGCTCATTGTTCAAAAGGTAAAACCCTAACGAAAGGAGACAAGTCGATAAGAGCAGCATGATAAGTGTGACGATCCATACTATACAATCGTAAGGATCGAGATACATGGAAAACGAAACCCGATTCGAAAAGTGGGAGCAAGAGAAAAAAGAAAATCCGGGAAAACCCGTGAGGACAATTTGGTTCTTATAATCCCACTCTTTAATCGGTACTCTAGTATCGTAGCTATACTCCGGGTAGAAGCAGGCTTCCGTCGGAACCGGGTAGCACTCCGTACCACGCATGAAATGTCGCGTTGCATTAAGCTTATTTAATGCCGTGGAAAATAAGATTTCTGAGATTGGATGCTTTTGAGAATTGTCAGTCCATCGCAGCTCGTATTTTGACGGGTAGTTTAAAGAGCTTAATAAAATTGTGTCTTTGCTCGAAATTGTTGAAGTGGTGCAAGCGAAATTGTGTAGAATTGGGATAAAACTTTTTTGGTAACAGGATGTCACCCTATTTTCAGGGTGAAATAGTAACCCTGCAAATTTGACGGGTAGTGGCTGCTCACTTTGGACAGGTTGTTCGTACAGGGGGGAATTCATATGGGATTCCAATGTTTTTGGGCTACTTGGAATTAAGATAAAGTAGAAAAAGTCCGGATAAACCTGATTCCTCGTCTCGTGTACCTTGATGTAGTACTGACTTTGAGTAGCAATCCAATATCCTAACGATTTTTCGTGGGATTTTGTATGACGTGACGAATTTATGGTGACGAAGAGAATTACGATTTCGCAAAGCCAGCCCCTAATTTTGAAGATATCCAGTCCTGATAAGATATTCCTTTGTGTGTTCGGAAGAATTAAAACGTCCGGAAAGTTTCGTTTGGTCAGTGTGAAAGGAACGTTGCAGGTAGTTGATAACTCCGAGGTCGAAATACCGTTAAAGACTAGGTGATATCGACATGGCGTGGGCGTGGTGAGGACAGATGACAAATTTATTGTAGATAACGCATCCGTACGGTTTATAAATGGCAAATTTGAAAAAATGAGTAAGTATAGAATTATTGAGCGAGTCCAGAGCTTAGTTTTCGTCGATGTCATTATCTTACAGTACATAAATGTGTAAAATATTCAGTAAGTTTGCAATTATTAATTATGTGGTGGTCTTATTTTATGTATCTGAGAGTTGTTAGTAAAACTCGTCTTCAGCAAGCAAGGAATACAATCTTGCTGCAACACTTACACCAAATGCCAAAATTGAGAATGCACATGCATGAACGTTGATGTTCACTGGTTTGGTATTTACATATGTATGCGAAAATATGCATATGAATATGCCTTGTCATTAGTTTGCATAAATGCTGATACAAGTTTTTTGCGTTTACGATTTACATTTAGTGTTAATCCTGCTGTCGCTTTCGCTAAAATTGAGGATGTGGAAGTAATTAGCTAGACATGTAAGAAGTAAATTACTTTGGCAGGGAAAACTCATTTCATTTACATAAATTTCCTGGTATTGAATGTATACATGCGCCAATTTTTGTCCGTAGATATGTAAGTTCATATGTAAGACGTGCCCGCATATTGTAAGTGTCAGAATGTTTTAGACAAGCAGAAACGAATGCGTGAATCAAATGTAATGAAACTTTTGTGTTATACTAATGATGAGTATACCGAGGTTTTTCAGTGATTCAATGGTCAAAATACATCTTCCATGCCGGTGGAAAGAAGACTTTGTCGCACACCTCTCATCAGCGGTTTTCCACTCATTTTACCAACTTCTATGACCGTCATCTCCATAACCCGCCCAAATGCTTTAAAAAAACTTGGTGTCCTTTTTCATAAGAGTAATATTTCTTCATTTATCGATAAAATCTTTCAATGGGTCGACACTGAAGTACTTCTGGAGCGTTTTATTTTTTCTCGACAAAATCAAGTTTTTTTTCCTCGTAGAGACCCTGTCACTATTTGTTATTGTGACACGCAGCCATGTTCGGCCAAAATAAAACATGGTTGTTTATGATAGAGGGGGTCAATCTCTTGATGATACACGCTTTCAACTGAAGTTCAAATACCATATCGTTGGTGGAAGCGAATGGATTTGAGACACTCGCATTTTAGTCGGTCTCCAGCCATTTTATGTATTTCATTGGAAATTTTGCTTAGATTTGAATTTATATTTCGAATGAACGCTATTTTTACTTATACATGAGTAGAACTTTACACGATTGACACTTCGAGGTCAACAGTGCAGTAGTTTTCATCATCCACGACGAGAAAATTCTGGGAGTCGATTTTAACATTTTCTCAAAAAAGTTTGGAAAATTTGTGTTAGCTCCAGCTTTTTCATCTTCGTTGTATTTTGGCGCGGTTTTAATGTTGCACGTTTTGAAGCCCATCTTATTGGCTTTGATCTTGCGAAGTTAGGTTTTTGAAATTTTTAGTTGTCTGGGTGGAGCCCTCACTGATATGTTTGGGTTGCCTCCAAAAGATTTTTTCACGTTTCTCGTCAGTATAATGGTCTTCATCCAGACAGGTTGACCCGGGAAAATTTTAGATTTTTAATTTTTACGATCCTTAAATAGGTATGTCTAGTGTATGACTAATTTTGTCCTTGGCATGGCTTCAAGAATGATGTGGTCATGAGCCCTTTTCCGATTTGAGAAAAACACTTTTTCGCACCAGTGGCAAACTGATTTTTCCACCTCTTCTACATTTTATGCTGTCATTTTCTAACGAAAGGAGATAATCAAATTCTCTTTTCGGTTTTAGAAAGCTTATGCAATTTGCCAATTTTCATGCTTTTTACATATGCAAAATTAGCTGCTAACTGGTTGAACCAGTAGTGGGAACCTTGACACTTACAATATGCGGGCACGTCTTATGAGTAAATGATATATTTTTCTTGGTATTTGAGTTTTGCATTTGATACTAATTGCGTTTGTAGCATTGGCTAAAATTGAGAATGTGAAAGTAATTAGCAAGATAAACTATGTAAGAACTAGTGAGAAGTAAATTTTTACTTCTTTGTTAAGATCGAAAACGAAACTCATTTCATTTATCATAACAGCTTGGAGGATATCGGGTGAAAACTTTCAAATATGACTGAACACTTAGGTATGAAAATGGATTCCGCCGTTGGGTATGAAAATTGCTATCGCCATCTCAAAAACTGGGTCCAGTCGACTTTTGATATGCAAATTTTGAGCTTTTAAATGAAAACTGGAACCTGCATCATATTTTAGTACATAGTTTATGTAGTAGTGAGGCTTGGTGCAACTACAACTCTTGAACAAATTTTCCGAAACAACATTTGAATCACCACTCTCAATATTCTCATTTCCTGGACGGACTATGTAACTATTGCAATTATGTTGAAGTGAAGATTTTGAATGAAGTTAGCAGCATTACTGTTGTTATGCATAATTTTATAAAAATGAATCTTCAAATGTGTACATACTGCATTTAAACATGGGCTTAAAATACGTAGAAGGCATTGAAAGTGTTTATGCAAATGCTGTTTCGGAAAATTTATTCAATACTTGTACTTACTACCTATGTAAGATTTCCCTTCTTTGGGGACCTTGTTTATTTAATGCTTGTAATTGAGTTATTTATGTTTTTTATAAACATTATAGTGCTATTTTTGTGAACACCACGTATTCCTCAAAATTAGCGTTAGCATTGTAGTGGTTCTCAACCACATAAAAATTATTTGCTGAAAAGTTTTTTAATTGAATAACTCGCGGTTTCTTAACCGATTTTGATCATACTTAGATTATAATTTGCAGAACAAAAGACTCTACAATACGTTGGGTGAAAACGTTGTTATGTAGATGTCACAGAAAAAAAATTACTGAAAATATGTTTCTAAGGCCACATTTTTGAGTCTAAGTCGGGTGAAGATCAAAAATTCGGAAAGGGGATTCGGTAATCGTCTTTACATTGAGTAACAAAAATCTGTGCAAAATTTCATCAAAATCGGATGGGAAATTACTGAGACATCCTGCTACGTAAGTCACCTTTTTTGGGGTGGGGAAGATGCATACTATTTAACCCTAAGTGAATTTTTTGTTGCTACGTAGTTGCCTCACTAAGAAAAAACTTCAGGTTACCTATCATACTGAAAGATGCAATTTCTTCCCCACTACGTCGTTAAATTTTCCATTACATAGATGGAACCCGACATCATCACATGATATCGATTTTGAGCTATCATAATTATCAGATGGCTCAATTTTTCGAGCGTAGATTAATTC